ACGTAATCACTGGAACGTGATTTTGCACACCAAATGTGACTGTATTTTAGGAGGCTGTGCTACATATCACAGATATTTTAAGTGTATACATCTGCTAGGGTATTTCCTTTCGTCCTTGTATTTTTGCTGAATACTGACTGACATTATACAAGAACTCTCGAGTGTGTGGAGAAGTAGTTGGCTCAGACAAATACTTCGCAAAGAACTTTTACTCTAAGAAAAATGATGAGTAATTTTAGATAACATTTTACAGAAAACACCATTAACAACAAATGGTCGTTTTGAGAGAAAAATTATACTAAACGCAAGAAATGGTCTTTCGCTTACTAAAATATCTACCCCACAGTTACTCAAAGTGTGGTCTGTGAGGCAATCAGCAACAAGATACATAAAGATATTGAGAGTAAGCATTTAAAAAATCATGTAAGAATTTGACAGACAATTTTATGTCTTTGTTTTACTTTCCACTTAACTTTTATTATATTTCACAAAAATGTTGGTCTGAGATGGATTGGAAAAAACCACAGGTCCTTCTCTACAGGAGGTCGGATGGGTGCACATGACTGCTAGCCCTGCTACTGCTAAAGCGTCTCTCTCTTAGCGCCTCCTGCGTGCCTGGCGCGATAAGTGCACTACACGCACCACTCTCAGGACGCACCTTAAATGTTATTCCTTGTGGCACGGAGACCTGCTTTTCTCTGTGGGGCTCAGAACAATGTTAAAGCTAGAATGCAAGCTATAGAGATTACAGTAATGAAACCGAGAAAGAAATTTGACCAAATAGTAAACAACATTCAAAATAATTTTTCCATTCAAAAATGTTCTTGAGCACTTGACCAAGTGCCCAACATTGTTTTAGATCCTTGGGTTTTAGCACTGAGCATCACAAAATCACCAACTTCATAAATTTTATGATTTTAAATAATTAAATGAGGTCAGATAGAAATAGGCACAGTGAAGAAAAGGAAAGCAGGGTGAAAGAACAGAGAAGTACTATCAGAGGCGGGGTATTACACAGAAGTACTATCAGAGGCGGGGTATTACACAGAAGTACTATCAGAGGCGGGGTATTACACAGAAGTACTATCAGAGGCGGGGTATTACACAGAAGTACTATCAGAGGCGGGGTATTACACAGAAGTACTATCAGAGGCGGGGTATTACACAGAAGTACTATCAGAGGCGGGGTATTACACAGAAGTACTATCAGAGGCGGGGTATTACACAGAAGTACTATCAGAGGCGGGGTATTACACAGAAGTACTATCAGAGGCGGGGTATTACACAGAAGTACTATCAGAGGCGGGGTATTACACAGAAGTACTATCAGAGGCGGGGTATTACACAGAAGTACTATCAGAGGCGGGGTATTACACAGAAGTACTATCAGAGGCGGGGTATTACACAGAAGTACTATCAGAGGCGGGGTATTACACAGAAGTACTATCAGAGGCGGGGTATTACACAGAAGTACTATCAGAGGCGGGGTATTACACAGAAGTACTATCAGAGGCGGGGTATTACACAGAAGTACTATCAGAGGCGGGGTATTACACAGAAGTACTATCAGAGGCGGGGTATTACACAGAAGTACTATCAGAGGCGGGGTATTACACAGAAGTACTATCAGAGGCGGGGTATTACACAGAAGTACTATCAGAGGCGGGGTATTACACAGAAGTACTATCAGAGGCGGGGTATTACACAGAAGTACTATCAGAGGCGGGGTATTACACAGAAGTACTATCAGAGGCGGGGTATTACACAGAAGTACTATCAGAGGCGGGGTATTACACAGAAGTACTATCAGAGGCGGGGTATTACACAGAAGTACTATCAGAGGCGGGGTATTACACAGAAGTACTATCAGAGGCGGGGTATTACACAGAAGTACTATCAGAGGCGGGGTATTACACAGAAGTACTATCAGAGGCGGGGTATTACACAGAAGTACTATCAGAGGCGGGGTATTACACAGAAGTACTATCAGAGGCGGGGTATTACACAGAAGTACTATCAGAGGCGGGGTATTACACAGAAGTACTATCAGAGGCGGGGTATTACACAGAAGTACTATCAGAGGCGGGGTATTACACAGAAGTACTATCAGAGGCGGGGTATTACACAGAAGTACTATCAGAGGCGGGGTATTACACAGAAGTACTATCAGAGGCGGGGTATTACACAGAAGTACTATCAGAGGCGGGGTATTACACAGAAGTACTATCAGAGGCGGGGTATTACACAGAAGTACTATCAGAGGCGGGGTATTACACAGAAGTACTATCAGAGGCGGGGTATTACACAGAAGTACTATCAGAGGCGGGGTATTACACAGAAGTACTATCAGAGGCGGGGTATTACACAGAAGTACTATCAGAGGCGGGGTATTACACAGAAGTACTATCAGAGGCGGGGTATTACACAGAAGTACTATCAGAGGCGGGGTATTACACAGAAGTACTATCAGAGGCGGGGTATTACACAGAAGTACTATCAGAGGCGGGGTATTACAGATACTATGTTAAGGAAAGCACAGCAGCTAAAAACACAGGTTCTGGTGCCAAAATGCCTGATTTCAATACTGGTTTAACTATTCATTTTAGGACCATAGGCAAATTGTCTGCTCTGTGACTCGGTTTCCTCATCTCTAAGAATGCGAAAATAATAGTTGTGTATTGAGGATTGTTGTATTACAAGAGTTAATGGTGTATTAGGACCGTGTCTGCCACACGGTGGATACTTACTGAATGCTACGATTATTTTATTTGGAAGTGAGGTTTAAGCAGAAACCCAAATGAGATGAGCAGTTATGTAGGTAAAATAATGATAGTTATCATTACATGAACACTTTAGGGTATATATACAGCCTGCGCACACTACTCCCATTCTAAAGATAAAAAGTTGAAGATTAGAAATGTTCAGTAGCTTGTTTAAGTGAATAGGCACCAGTGAATTCCGTCAAAAAGCTTTATGTTGGGCCAGCAGGTAGTGTGGTAGGGAAGGCATTGGGTTGCACATGGTCCACTATGCAATTCAAGTCCTGGATCTGTCAGCTTGAATATCATGCCAGGTGTGCGTGCATGCGTGCCCAAAATCCTAAGAGGAGAATGGAGAAGAGAGCTTGCAGCTGGCTATCCCCCTCGAGGGATGATTTCTCACTTTCGCTTCTCCCTCCCTTTCTCTCTCTCTGTCTCTATCTGGTGAGCACATGTAGCAAAACTGAAAAGAAAAAAAAAAGCCTTATGTCTTCTGTTTGGTTTACATTTGCTTTTGCTTTAGCAATAGCACAGAATGGCTCAGAACTAAACCTCCAGACTTTATTAGTCCATTTAATCATTCTTTTGTTCAAAAAATATTTACGAAGCACCTACTACTATAGTTAACTAATATTTTGTCTTTAAAGATCAGATCATTTAAACAAGGGAATGTGATTCAAGAATAAGGTCTATTGGACAGCAGAGAGAGGTGAGCCACAGGATTTAGGAAGAGGCAGCTGAGTGCATAAAGGCCAAAGAGGCCTACTACGAGGTTTACAGAGAACATTGGGAGGTAAATTTGAAAGTTAGGCAAGGAGGGACCAGCAGTTAGCGTAATGGCTATGTCGCTGGACTCCCATGTAGTTGACCTGGTTTGAGTCCTGGACCCAGTGGCTTAAACTCACACCGGGCGCGTATGTGTGCATGCCCAAGATCCGGAGAGGAGAATGGAGGAGAAGGGATTGCAGCATGGCCATCCCCCTGGGGGGTGATTTCTCACTTTCTGTCTCTCTGTCTCTCTCTGTCTCTCTCTGTCTTTCTGGCAAGTGCACATGCCCTATAGCAAAAACCTCTCCAAAAAAAAGAGAAAAAAGTCAGGCAGAGAGCAAAATCCTAAAACCATGCCTGTGTAGAGAGTAGGGAAGCCCTGGAGCTCTAGGAGGAGGAATCAGCAGAGTCTGGGAAGAGTGCGGAGACAGATGGAGAAGGAAAGAGCAGAGACAGTGATGTCAGAGCACCTTGGGGCCTACTGGACCAAAAGGGGCTTCAGCGAGCAGCCAGGAGAGATGTCCGCACAGAAATACTGCGGGACCCTGCACAGAAAGATCCGTGCACTGCCTTAGAGACAAATGTGTGAGTGTGCGGTAGGAGCAGAGAACAAGGGTGGAATCAAGTAAAGGATAATCAAAAAAAAAGACCCAGAAATTGATTAGAGGGTCATGGGAAAAATGGAGCATAAACACACATTATAAGGAATTTAACATCAAAGATTGACACTTCATTATTCTGTTTTTGGTTTGTCTTCATTAGTTTTGCAAAATGGGGGGCGGGGGGAAGATGCGTGTTACAAAGTGGTTACCTTGTCATAAACAATGAACATGAACTAATTCAGAAATAGTTCCTGATTACAGATTCTTAAGAATCAAAAGGCAGCTTTAAAGCAAGGCATGGCACTAAGCATGCTGTGGGACACCAGGGCTGCAGGTGTGTGCTCTGTGCCCTTTGCTAGCCAGTCCTGCGCACTGCCCCACTGCCCCACTACCACTCTGCCCTTCTGCCCCGTTGCCCCTCTGTCCCATTTATAAAGCAACTGCCCCCCCCAGCCCCCAGCAAAGGCACACTATGCTACAGGCCTCCCGTAAAAGTCCAGATGTCAATAGTGACTTTCTTTGAACTCAAAATCAAGTACTTTCTCTCACTCCAATAGAGACTTACGACATTATTTTGAGAAAGTAAGATCTGAACAGTATTAGCAATCTTTCACTTCTGGATGCTTGCTTCTCTAGCACATAAATAAATGGCCACCACTCCCTAGCAGGATTGTTTTTCTTGAGCTGCTGACAACTTTATAATAAACTATCTTTTAAGTTCATTAAATGGAAAAGGCAAAGAACAAGACCCCAGGGTATATAAATGGTCCTGTCACTGCAGCCACTTGGCGATGCGGGAGGAAGCCGTGCCTGCCACAGGCTCTGGGCCTCTCAGATCAGCTTGGGGAAGGCGGGTCCTCCAGTTCCTTACCTTCTTCAGCAATGACCGTTAGTGTGACGGTGACACCAGCATCTTTGATCAGCTGTACAATGTTATCATGGGACAGCTCAACAATGGACTGCCCATTCACTGCAGAGATATGATCTCCAACTTTCAGCTTTCCACAGCGATCAGCTGGACTTCCTTCTATGACTCGGCCAATTTTATGAGGGATAACTATATGGAGAAAAAAATCCACGGTTTTTCAATTATTTAAGATAGCTGCTAGCATTAGATTTACTATCACTGTCATTATTTAAAATTTCAATATTGTAACATCAAAGAAAATTCTGAAAAAATACAGCAAGAAAAAAAGAAACAAAACCCACCCATCATCATCCTATCCAAAGTCAATTCCCTTCCCTACCACCTCCCACATTTGCCCACGCCTGCAGATACCCTTCGCATGGTTGTAGCCAGAGCCTGTATGTTGCTTTGCTGTGTTCCATTTACCAGAGCATTTTTCTCATTTTAAAGTCATCATTCTGCTTATCCTGTTGAAGGGTTGCTGATGTCACTGACACTGATAGCATTTCACTGACCTGATGACTCACTGTTTATTAATTCAGGCTACATTAAGTTTTGAGCTATTGGGTCATTAGAAAAGTTATGATGCACTGTTTGTATAGAAAAACATAGAAAAATATGCCATGACTTTTTCCAACAATCCAATATTTTAGAAACTGCTACACTGAGACTATCTTTGATTCTGTTGAAGGGGCAACTTAGTCCTATAAGGAAATAATAAATGTGTTAAGCTTAAGTTTAGGACTCAGTGGTTAGTGGTCAGAAATCCAGTTACAATGAAATAACTGATCATTAAAATGTATCATACTTAGTTCTAAAATTCAAAAAGCTGCATAGCATTAGAACATTAAATGTTTAATGTAAAGACTCTTTGGCTCATGGCTAAAATGCTACCCTGAAAGCACAAAGCTAAGTCTAACTCATTTGCAGGGACAATTCCTGATGCTCTACGGTATTGGTAGCTCATAATGCTGAGGGTTTTCCTAGACTATCAAGAGACTTTGCTGTTAGGTCATCAGCAAAATCATGATGCATTTTTGCATAGAAAAATGCATCATGACTTTCCCCATGACCTAATATTATCACAGTTTAAAATAAGTGCTTAGACAGTCAAGAATTCTTGTCAAACAAAATATCTTCCGCTGTGCAATAAAGGGACTGGTATTAGGAAACAAATTTTCTCTCTATGGTCTCTGAGAATCTCCTAGCCTAGGTCAGGAAACTTACAAGGCACTTGGGTTCCTGCTCACTACCAATTGGTATGAATAAGGATGGTTTATGTTCTTAAATGGCACTGTGAATTTGGCTTAATTTTCATAGTAAAACATGCTCCTTACTAGTATTTTTGAACCATATCTAGGAGTAAGTTAGGAACATTTTTGTTTTTTAGAGAGGTTTTTGCTATAGGGCACGTGCACTCTCTGGAGAGACAGCGACAAAAGAAATGGAAAGTGAGAAACCACCCTCCTCACCCTCCTGCAAGGGGGATGGCCACACTGCAATCCTTTCTCCTCCATTCTCCTCTTGGGATTTTGGGCATGCATGCACACGTGCCCAGCATGAGTTTGAAGCCGCCGGGTCAGGGACTTGAACCATGGTTGACTATGTGGGAGTCCAGTGATGTAACCATTATGCCATCTGCTAGTCCATAGTTAGGGACTTATTAATACATTTTCATTTGGACTGGAAAAGCTATTTTTGGTTCATTGATTTATTTCCCAACAGACATTACCTTGGTTTTGCTATGATTAAACAGTGGGAGATTTTTAATGTTAAAATGGAGGAAGTCAATGTTGGAAGCAAGTGCCTTTTAGCTCTGAATTGTACCAAGTACTTATTCCCTTTGCCTCACCAAGTAACTGGAAAAGTACCAGTGGTCTGGGCCATGTCTGATGGCAGGCAGTATTAGGAGCCGACTCTCTAGCAGTGTAACGGGTGGCATATCACAAACACATGGTGGTCCTGCAGCGACCTCTGGATTGACACCTTAGCTATTCCTGCTTATAGAAGATTCACTCAAACCCAGTGTTCATTCTAAATCCCGAGAAGAAAGTCATTCACATCCTTGGCACACTGAAAGGGGTTTGTTCAGACTTGGGAAAGCATCAGGCAGAGTTCATCTGGGAAGGCTCCCTGGTGCTCTTTCTCATCACGTGAACAATGTGGTAAAACGAGATTGGGAAACAGTGGTACGCAACTCCCTGAAGGGTTGTCTGGGTGAGAGAAGTTAAAAGCAGTCAGACTGGGGACCAGCAGTTGGCGTAATGGCTATGACGTTGGACTCTCATGTAGTTGACAGTGGTTCGAGTCCCAGACTCGGTGGCTAAAAATCACACTGGGCATGTGTATGTGCATGCCCAAAATCCTGAGAGGAGAATGGAGGAGAAGGGATTGCAGTGTGGTCATCCCTCCTGGGGGGTGATTTCTCTCTTTCTGTCTGCCTCTCTATGTCTTTCTGGAGAGTGCAAGCGCCCTATAGCAAAAACCTCTCAAAAGAAAAAAAAAAAAAAAGAAAAAAGAGAAGCAGTCAAACTGTTCCTGTCTTGTCATTTATAGCAATGCCACTAAATAGTTAAAAATAACAAACTGACCAGCAGAAATGAAACCTCTGATCATTCTCCCAAAGGACTGGGAAGGTTTCCAAGGTAACCTTTAAAGTACATGTAGCTATGGAAATACCTGAAGTCTGCCTTTGTTTCGTTGGTATACAAAGTCTGTGGGCATTTCCCAAAGGCCCACTTGTCCATCTTCATTCATTTTTGGCTTATGTCTGTCTCATAGTCTGTCTTGTCTGGTTACTAAAATCACTTTAGTGCTCTTAAAACATTTCTTTGCAGAAAAAGAAGAGACAGAAACTACATAGAAATGTCCTCTTCTCAAACAAAGCCTTTGCAACTAGGACTGAAATCTGTGTAAGAATACACTAAAAGCCATGAAGCACTGGTAAAGAAAAAATAGCTACGTCTTTTTTATCTTAAGTAGAGGCTTTTTCTAAGTACTCCATTTATTTAGCACTTAGACAAAGTGTGAGGATACTGGACCTCACTCCCTGATCTTTGAAAAAGTCAAGAGCAGAATCTCAGAATTTCATAACCCAAACCAGAGATGCTACAAGGAACTCTCCTGTGACATACATCATCAGAAAATGCACTGGGGCCAGCCCCACAGTGCAGCGGTTAAATGCTGTGCATAAGGAGCTAGATCCCATGTGGTCAACGGCAGCTCGAGTCCTGGCTTGAATGGCTTGAAAAACATGACAGGTGCATGTGTGTGTGTGCCTCAAATCCTGACAGGATGGGGAAAGGAGGACTGCAGCATGATCACGCCTGGCTGGGGCACTCTAGTGAGTGCATGTGCCCTCTGGCAAAAAAGGAAAGAATAAAAAAATTGAATTAGAAGAAAAATGCAATTGGCCCTGCCCTGTCGCCTAGTGGTTGGGGGAGCAGGATCCCATGTGGCTGACCACATAGTGCTAATCCTGTTCTCAGCAGCTTGGAAAACATGCTGGGCACGTGTGCTTGTGTACCCAAATTCCAACACAGTAGAGAAATGGAGGAAAAGGAATTGCAGCTTGACCATACCTGGGGAGAGGGCGTGCTTTCTCCCGCTCTCTCCCTTGTCTTTCTCTGGCAAGCACATGTATTCTCTAGCAAATTAGAAAAGAAAAAAGATAAAAAAAAGTAATCTCTGTTGAGCAGAGTTCTGAGGCCCATACAGGATGATCTGTTCTGACAGATGAGGCTCCTCCTTTACACTGTGCTAACTCTTTTCTGAAGCAAACCTTCTCTGTTACAGTTGGCAGCAACTGCTCAGTCTGTGAGCGCCCATCCATGCTTACCTCAGAACCTTCCTTCTATCTACATGAGATGAATGAAGTTCTAGAAAGATTGCTTGTAGGGCTCAGCGTTTTGTGAGAATATTAACTAGCATTTCAGTGAAATTATCAATTCTGGTTTGTACCATGACTGAAAATCTCAAGTACTTTATATAAAATTCATCAACAACTTGAGACTAATTTGCCATTCAGGCTGATGATTAATGAGCTGCAAACATTCATTTCCTGCTACACGTTAGCTGCTGCCTCAATCTTACATTTTAATTGGACTTTCTTTCCTATCTCATTATTAAGCACTGCCTAACTTTTTAAAGTTTCTTTTACAAAGTCTGTGGGCATTTCCCAAAGGCCCACTTGTCCATCTTCATTCATTTTTGGCTTATGTCTGTCTCATAGTCTGTCTTGTCTGGTTACTAAAATCACTTTAGTGCTCTTAAAACATTTCTTTGCAGAAAAAGAAGAGACAGAAACTACATAGAAATGTCCTCTTCTCAAACAAAGCCTTTGCAACTAGGACTGAAATCTGTGTAAGAATACACTAAAAGCCATGAAGCACTGGTAAAGAAAAAATAGCTACGTCTTTTTTATCTTAAGTAGAGGCTTTTTCTAAGTACTCCATTTATTTAGCACTTAGACAAAGTGTGAGGATACTGGACCTCACTCCCTGATCTTTGAAAAAGTCAAGAGCAGAATCTCAGAATTTCATAACCCAAACCAGAGATGCTACAAGGAACTCTCCTGTGACATACATCATCAGAAAATGCACTGGGGCCAGCCCCACAGTGCAGCGGTTAAATGCTGTGCATAAGGAGCTAGATCCCATGTGGTCAACGGCAGCTCGAGTCCTGGCTTGAATGGCTTGAAAAACATGACAGGTGCATGTGTGTGTGTGCCTCAAATCCTGACAGGATGGGGAAAGGAGGACTGCAGCATGATCACGCCTGGCTGGGGCACTCTAGTGAGTGCATGTGCCCTCTGGCAAAAAAGGAAAGAATAAAAAAATTGAATTAGAAGAAAAATGCAATTGGCCCTGCCCTGTCGCCTAGTGGTTGGGGGAGCAGGATCCCATGTGGCTGACCACATAGTGCTAATCCTGTTCTCAGCAGCTTGGAAAACATGCTGGGCACGTGTGCTTGTGTACCCAAATTCCAACACAGTAGAGAAATGGAGGAAAAGGAATTGCAGCTTGACCATACCTGGGGAGAGGGCGTGCTTTCTCCCGCTCTCTCCCTTGTCTTTCTCTGGCAAGCACATGTATTCTCTAGCAAATTAGAAAAGAAAAAAGATAAAAAAAAGTAATCTCTGTTGAGCAGAGTTCTGAGGCCCATACAGGATGATCTGTTCTGACAGATGAGGCTCCTCCTTTACACTGTGCTAACTCTTTTCTGAAGCAAACCTTCTCTGTTACAGTTGGCAGCAACTGCTCAGTCTGTGAGCGCCCATCCATGCTTACCTCAGAACCTTCCTTCTATCTACATGAGATGAATGAAGTTCTAGAAAGATTGCTTGTAGGGCTCAGCGTTTTGTGAGAATATTAACTAGCATTTCAGTGAAATTATCAATTCTGGTTTGTACCATGACTGAAAATCTCAAGTACTTTATATAAAATTCATCAACAACTTGAGACTAATTTGCCATTCAGGCTGATGATTAATGAGCTGCAAACATTCATTTCCTGCTACACGTTAGCTGCTGCCTCAATCTTACATTTTAATTGGACTTTCTTTCCTATCTCATTATTAAGCACTGCCTAACTTTTTAAAGTTTCTTTAAAAAAAAAAACAAGTCAAGAGACCATGGCAGTTTTGTAAACAGCAGAGGCTAGCATTTATTGAAGGACTGGGCGAGGGGCTTGGCATGCACTACCTCCTTCAGTCCTTACACTCACATAAGACAGGAGTGCTGTTATCATTCTTGTTCTACAAAAGGGGGTACGTGGGACCAGCAGTTAGCGTAATGGCTATGTCGCTGGACTCCCACGTAGACGACTGTGGTTCGCATCCCGGACCCGGTGGCTTAAAAACTCACGCCGTGCACATGTGCGTGAGTGCCCAAGATCCTGAGAGGAGAATGGAGGAGAAGGGATTGCGGCAATCACCCCTGGGGGGTGATTTCTCGCTTTCTGTTTCTCTGTCTCTGTCTGTCTGGTAAGCGCACGTGCCCTATAGCAAAAACCTCTAAAAATAAAAACCAAAACACAAAATTTAATACAAAATTTAAATATAAACGAATGTGAAATTATGGTTAAAGATATTTAAGTAACACAAATTTCTTTTTCTTTTTTTTTAAGGGAGGTTTTTGCTATAGGGCACGTGCACTCAACAGAAAGACAGAGAGAGACAGAAAGTGAGAAATCACCCCCCAGTGGGGGATGGCCATACTGCAATCCCTTCTCCTCCATTCTCCTCTTGGGATCTTGGGCATGCACGCACACATGCCCAGCGTGAGTTTAAGCCGCCAGGTCTGGGACTTGTACCACGGTCGAATACATGGGAGTCCTGAAACATAGCCACTATACTAACTGCTGGTCCCAGTAATACAAATTTTTAGCTGAAATTTTCTTTATTACTTAGTTTTATAGTGAACACCAGACTGTCTCCCCTAATTGCTGTAGAATTAAAAAGAGAATATCTTTAGTAATAAAAGGCGGTGAGTACCATCACACTGATTAATAACCCTTCAATACTTGTGTTAATCTAACTGCCTGGGATTCCTGTATGGTATTGGGATGACAATCTGATATTCAAAATGGTTGTTTTTGGAAGTACTGATTTCCAATGATACAACATGAAATTCACCTAAAGCTGCTTCCTTTCATTCTTCTGACACAGGCCATATAATCATTCTCACAGCATCAGTGACAGTTCTAGTTCCAAGCGTTGCCATAGCAACTGCTTTTGGAAAATGGAAACAAGTATCAGTGAGCAGTGACCTGATACTATAGTAATAACTCATCCATGTCACAGATTCTTCTTCCTTTACACCCTTGCACTAATTATAGCAAGGCTTTTGCAAATTGGTTTGGCTCACAACACTTTCCTGAACGAGCTTTCTTCTTTTACTGTGGTTTCAGTGACCACGTAGTCCAAAAGGATCTCATACCCACGATGTAATCAGATCCCCTGGCAAAGGCAATAGCGCATTTTCATGTGGCCAAAGATTCTTATCATGTGACTTGGAAAAATGAAGTTACCAGAAAAGCATGATACATACACTTCTATGAGTGGTTCTATCTAATTCAGTTGGATTTTATAATTATATTTAAAGATTATTATTTTTTAGAAATATTAAGAGAAGATAAAATTTTTAACTTACTGAATCACAAGAGGCCTGAACATATTAGATGTAATTCCTCCTCTGCTGACCAAACTGATACATGAGTATCAGATGAGAATATTGTGAAACTTGGTTCAAGATATTTTGAATACTTTTCAAAGGTCCTAACAAAACTTACCTTTTAGTAAAACATATATGAAAGGTAGGAATGCCTCATCATTCAAAAAGGGTATTTTATAGCTAGAACATGGTGATTATTATTAAATAATATAGATACACGATTTGAGACATATTTGGGTCAAGATTTTTCTATTAATCTATTTTGCTTCTTTCTCATTTGCTTTTAGTATTTAATTCATTTCTACATATTCAATTTCTCATAATTTAAAAAATCCTATGCCCTCATATTTAAAAAAAACACAGCATTGCATCTTTCATTAAATCCATCATGTCATATCCCTGTTCCACTGTCTCAGTATAATCTTAACGCAAACGGAGCTGCTAAGACTTACTTTGTGGGATCTGAGATGACAGATAAACCCGAAGCCTGAAAAGTTTGGCTCAGGTTACCCAATTTTGAAAAACAGAAAATATTCACCATTTTTAACAAGATAAATCTCTAAGGCAATTCATGTAGTTCCTAATTCTTAATGGTTTCATGAGCTCTAGTGGGAGGCTTCAGAAACGGAAGTGCAGGGAAAGACTACAGTCCTTACCTCCTGGAGGGGGTTTGTTTTTGGATGTGAGGATGACAAAGCCAAAACCTTCATTTTCTTTTCGTTGCAAGACAACATCATAGGCTTCCTGGGGGGCAGGCCTGGCAGGGACTTCTGCTCGGCTCAGGCGGGGAGATCCATTCTGGGCTGAAATGAAGGCCTGAGAGCTGTCATCCTCAGGTTGTTTCTCTATAATAAACACGATCAGTTTTGATATTTCTGGAACACCATGATTTTTCGAACTCAAGTATTTTGGTGCAAGCCCTCTCGAGAACAAAAAAGCACATACCCCCATATACACCCCATATACACCCCATATACATGCTCTAACACTACCTCACTTGAAAAGAAGTTTTTCAAACTTCTATGAGATTTGATAATAAGAAAATTCTTCTGGAAATTGTTTTAGTTCTGTCAACATTTATAACCTGACCAGTAAGTTTAACAAAAATAAATAACGAGGGACAACACATCGAACCTCCTTTTAAAATCCACTGTAGGGGCCGACAGGTGGCGTGGTGGTTAAAGGTGCTGGACTCCCACATGGCTGACCGTGATTCCAGTCCTTGACCCTGTGGCTTGCTTTCTCACTTCCTCCCCTCTCCCTGTCTGATCAAACTGGAAAATACTACTACTATTACTACTAAACTTAAATAAAATAATTTAAAAATGCACTGTAAATATAATTTAGCTCAGCGACTGCTGTTGGTTGGTATCTGGGAGGCCGCAGCACCAGGGCAGAAATGCCGCCCCATCACAACAGGGCTGCCTGCATGGGATGTGTCTTACAGCTGCAGCTTCCTGACTGACGCTGTCAGATGAGTTCATCATTAGCAGCCCTCAGCCTCTTCCCTCTCCCCTGATTCTGTCCATATGAACATAAATTCTCCTGGGCACAGATAAAGAAAGGCACATGGAGTATGTTGGGTCATCAAAAAAGTCATAACATTTTTTTGCATAGAACAACAAAGAAAAGTACATCACAGCTTTTCCAATGACCTAATATATGTCCCAGCAAATGGACAGTTAATCTACTCCTTTTTCTGCTATTCAAGGGTAACATGAGAATTTGAGAATAGTATTATTTTTAAAGGCATATTTTGTGCCTTTTGTGTACAAATCATTATTATTATATTTTTGGAGAGGTTTTTGGTATAGGGCGTGTGCCTCGCCAGAAAGACAGAGAGAGACAGAGAGACAAAGAGAGAGAAAGGACCCCCCGGAGGGATGGCCACACCTCAATCCCTTCTCCTCCATTCTCCTCTCAGGATCTTGGGCACGCACGCACATGCGCCCGGCACGAGCTTAAGCCACTGGGTCCGGGACTCAAACTGTGGTCGACTACATGGGAGTCCAGTGACATAGCCATTATACCAACTGCTGGTCCCACAAATCATTATTAAGAACAACCAGAACACAATACAATTGTGAAATATTTCATAAGGTCTCTTCTGGATCTAAGTGTACATAATTTTAAGAATACATTTTAGAATATTAACAAAATGATACTAGCATCCAGTCATTATTGAAAAATAAAGTTTACTTTGGTTATAGTGAATCAGCTAAATGTTTCTATTAATACTAAACTACCCTGAAACTTTTTCAAGATGATTCCCAGGTGAGAGCTGCCTTGCACATTTGTAATATCACGTTTTTATGGTATATAGCTATGTTCTGACTCTAGCCCAACGAAGTTGAGGCAGCACTGCACTGAAATCCATATGCATCTCTAAATGCTGTTATTTGCTGAAAGGCTGGCCTTTATTTTAGATGCTGCAATCAGAACCACAGCGCTGGGCCCGATGGTGGCACAGCAGTACATGACGTTCTGTGAGCTGACCATGTGGGAAGGTTCTGGATTCGCATCCAGAGACTTCCCTCAGGGTAAGCCCATGATCTGGGGCTGGCTGAGGGTGGAGGTAGATCATGATGTCAGGACCCTGTTGTAAGTTCTGTCTCTGTCCTTCTCTCCCCCTACCATCTTTCTTGCTATGGGAAGAAGTAAATAAATATACTTTAAAAATTTAAATAACAACATAGCGCTACACTTTTACGAGTGAGGTAAATGATCATCAAGTTAGTAAACAAGTACCGATGTTCACTCTGGGCTGGGCACATGCTCTTCTAGGTCTGGAGGACACAGCAGATAACTGACCCAATAAAAATCGATACCTTCATGAACTTACATTCTTATGCTTATCTTTTTGAAATTTTACAGTGGCAAGAACTGACAAAAAAAATCCTTTTTAATATTCACAAAGCTATTGAGAAAAGTATCCTAGTGCAATGGTTTAGACTCCACTCTGCAATTAAACTGTGATTTTAGTTCCGGCTCTACTCCTTACCAGCTATGTGTCTCTCCACCCTTTTGTGAAAAAAAATAGATACTAACCATATGTGTATTATGGTGTTGTGAGGATTAAAGAAAGTAAACTATGTATCTGGGACACAGTGAGCATTTAATAAATATTAAATTATATTAAAACTTCTCAAGTAGAAATATTCAACTATCCTTGAATATTGGGATTTAATCAGGATTCAAAATCTTTTGGTATTCAGCTAATGGACTATCTTGGCATGACTAAATAACCTTGTTATTTATTTAAAAATAGATTTAAATTGATAGTCTTACCTACAACCCACATTGGCAAAATTTATCAATATAATCTTAGTGTACATGCCCCAAATTTAATTCTCTCTCTTTTTAAAATTTGCTGTAGGGCATGTACACTCACCAGAGAGAGAGAGAGGGAAAGTGAGAAAATGCTCCCTGGGCCACACCACAACCCCTTCTCCTCCGTTCTCCTCTCAGGATTTTGGCATGCACATACGTGCATCTGGCATGTTTTTTAAAGAGGCTATGTTTGGGACTTGAATTGTGTAGTCGGCCATGTGGGGTCCAGTCACCTTAACTACTACACCATGCTGGCCCCAGATTCTCTTTTCTGATAGTAATGCTATTATTTCTGGATCCTTCTGACCTTCCATGAGCTTCTACAATGGGGCCCTGGATCACACCAAATTGGTTATCTCATATATTAAACATAATAACCTGCAAAACCACACAGAAAGTAGATTAAGTCTCTTTATCTGTTTCTGTTTTAACCTTTCAGAGCAGGTACAGCTCACATACCTCCATAGAAGATCTTTCTTCGGACGGTGAGTAGCACGTGGCCATTTCGAGCAGCAGTTGTCATCAGGTCCAAGACCTGTTTGTGTGATTTCCCTTTAACAGGAATTCCATCAATGCACATCAGCTCATCAGCTGCACGCAGCCGGCCATCCTTCTCAGCTGCTCCCAGAGGAATAATAGCCCCGATATATATCTGATAAAAGAACAAAGTGCAGGCTTGTCTACATCATCTACCAAGAGTTAAGGACCTTCTGAGTCAGCACTGTGCAAACCAACAGATTTTTGCAGTTCAACTACAAATGCAGTGACATTTAGAAAGCGCCCATTCTCTGAAGTGGCACTTTGAATAATCATGCTGTAGTTTGTAATCCCTCCTGAATCCTCAGAGTTGTGTACAAATAAGAGAAAATTCCAAGTTGTTCAATAACTCAAAAAACCCATCACCATCTCCATCACTACAATAAAACAAAACATTAAATTCAGAAAATGCAATTCTGTGGAGTAGCTACTACAAGTAAAGCAACAGGGGTCGCTCTTACGACGCTCCCATCATATCCGGCTACAAGCTGAGTGTCTAGAAAAGAGAAACGGTTCCTCTTCCTAAATCTCAACGCACGGGGTGGCCTCAGTTTACTTGCATCTAGGTGAGCAGACCTGGTTTATTCTGCTCATCAGCAATGAGATTCCTGTAATTAGGCAATCCTGAATGTTTGGGCTAGTTTGAAAGCTGCTAAAACCTTGTTTCAGATAAGAGAAGGGTTTCTCCTAAGCTGTTTAAAATAAATTTTTTAAATGTCTAAATGAACACTAACAATATAGACAAAATAGGAAACAATAAAACAAAATTAAACATACAGTTGTGCCTGGGTATCCTTGGGGGACTGGTTCCAGGACCGCCCATGGAAACCAAAATTCAGGGATGCTCAAGATCCTTATATAAAATGGCACAGTATCGGGCTAGCCCATGGCATGGTCATTAAGGCAGTTGGATCTCACATGGCTGACTGCATGACTGAGTCCTGGACTCTGCTGCTTGAGAAATATGCTGGGCATGTGTGCATGCATGTCCAAAATCCTGAAAGGGGGAAAAAAATGGGAGACATGGAATTGTGCCATGACCATTCCCATGAAGGGTGCTTTCTTATTCCTCCCACTCATCTCTCTCTCAATCCCTCTGGTGTGCACACAGTCTTCTGGTAAATTAAAAAAAAAAGGCAGAGCATTTGCATAATATATGTACATCCTCCAACACACTTTAAATACCTCTGAATTACTTATAATACTTAATACACTATAAATGCTATACAAATAGTTGTTATAGTATATATTTTTAATTTGCGTTAAAAACATTTTTTTCTTTTTTCAGATTTTTTTGAACATAAAAAGTTTAATGTTTAATTAAAATTTAACAAAATAGAAATTATTTCTAAAAATACCTCAGATACAGCATTGAAACCAGAATATACAGAGAACTAGAGCAGCTCACTCACAAAAATACTAATGATACGACTTTCCGATGGGCAGCTGGTCTGACCATACAACTCTTTTTTTTTTCTTTTTTAATTTATTTTTATTTATTTATTTACATTCATTCACTGTACATCATTATAGCATACAAAATGAAATACTTCCATTCACAGTACACTGTATATTGGCTCAATCAAGCACATCAACATATGTGTTATTGTCAACACATAATTTTCTATTTCTTGTTTTCTGTATATTTTGCCTTTTTT